AGATCGATTGCACAGCCGTGCGGGTGGTGTCATGATGTGGGGAGCTTTAACATACTTTGGCACTATAGAACTGCAGTTTCTTACCAGCCGTATGAATGCCATTGCGTACAAAGGTGTACTGAATACGGCTTTCCCTGCAATCAAGGATATTTTTTGACCCTTGAAATGGAAGTTTCAGCAGGAAAACGCGCCTATCCACACAGCCAGGATTGTAAAGTCCTGGATTGATGGTCGAAACGTGGAATTACTGACTTGGCCGCCATACTCTCCTGACCTAAACATTATAGAACATGTTTGGGGATGGCTGGCACGAAAGGTGTACGAGTCTGGCAGCCAGTATTAAACTGTAGCAGAACTCATTGGAGGAATAAAAAGGTCCTGGAAGGCTGTTTCACTCAATTATATAAAAAAAATTATATGACTCCTTACCTTAGCGGATGTACGAAGTCATTCTTAACCGTGGAGGCTCAACACATTATTAATTTCTTTTCAAAAAAATCTAAAAATATTTAAATTAATATTAAAAAACAATTTGAATGAAGTTTGAACCCATTTTCTTTTGTTATTTTAAGTTTTCAAGTGACTGTGCTAATCGGCTGTCGCAAAAATAATAGAGAATTTGGTATGTTTATATTAATTTAAAATGTTATTAACACTGTTAGTATCCTATCTTCTATTCATTTTCGTGTGAAATTATATATTTCTTTAAGGGAAAACGAACGAGCAGCATAGGGTGTGCTAATCGGTTGTCGCGCAGTGTAAAATTGTGCAAGATTGACTGTTACAGTATCAGGATCATAAGCACTATTCACGATTTCGGCTGCCTGACCTGTGTTTTCGCTTTTATTGAAGAAAAATTTCGGCATTCAGCGGGTTTTCTATTTGCTGGTGTCCACCTTTGACACGCGCTCAAACACTGCAGAGTTAAGTTAACAACACATTTTCCTTTCTCGTTTTTGGTATAAAATATTATCTTTCTAACGCCATCTAACGTAATATAGAACACAGATACAATTTACTGAATTCACCTCAAAGTTTCTCTTTTGTTTTTTTTTTTTTTTTAATTAAAAAAAAAAATAACTGCCTTTGAGAAAATATAAAAAAGATTTAAAAATCAACATTTTTTTTTTGGCTAAATTCTGAAAAAAAAATTTTTTTCTTTTTATTTAAAATAAACTTGGAAAGAAAAAAATACTTTTTGAAAGCAACTTTTTACTGGGCCTTTACATTTTTTCGAAAAATTTTCCATTTTTGCCCTTCACTGCATTTATGTATTGTACATCTTTACATACACTCATATTCGATGTGTGCTTTTATGCGATGGAATAATGAAAATGCGTTTAATTTACAGCCTTCATTATTTTGCTTTTTAACTCTTTTGATTTGGAAAGCTGATTTCATACCATTTTAGTTGGCCACTATTCGATAGTGCTGAATCATTAAAAGCAAAATATTTCGCTTACAGCTTCCTTTGTTTATCCTCGGTGAGTTTGAAATTTGTTTACTTTGAAATATTAAACGATTTTTTGTGGCATCTACTTCTGCTTCCGCATTTTACATTAGCACACATTCTACGCAGTCATTCTCCAGCAGTTGGCTAACCCAAAAGCATAAGCAGTCATTTGAGCCGGGTGAGCTGATTTGCTAATTTTGCGACTAAAAGTAATTTTGTTGGTAAATTACGCCTTTGTATTAGGCAAATAATTTCACTTGCTGTTAGTATTTTGAAATAGTTTAGAGTTATTTATCTCTTCTTGCCAATACTCTGTCATTTTCTACTTCATTTGTTGGAATCTCGAGTTTCACATAATGCTCACACATTACTCAAATCCGTTTTGTCGAGAAATTGCCAAGCAGAAAGCTGTAATTTACTGCTGTAATAATAATTTCTTGTGGTCCCTGTTACTTTGGTTTGCTTAATTAAATCTGCAAACGAAGCGTAATCTTTATATTTCATGGTTGTGTGCTAGAGAAAGAGTGACGCTGTGTAGGTGCCATGGCGTATGAGTAACTATTTAATAGAAATTTTTTTTGGAAAATTGCGCAGTTTTGCTGTCCTTCCTGCTGCTGCTGACGATATTTTAATAAATTTTAGCTACGAGTTTGGTAATATGAGCAATTAATTATTTAACTGATATAAATGGTGAATATTTGGAGAGTGTGCGCATATTCAACATAGTATATATGTATGTGTGTTACAACTAATAGTTATGAAAGGCGCTGAGTGCCAATTAAAGTGTGGTGTTTCAATAAATTTGCTGTATTGTAATTAAGGATTTTGAAAGTATTAACGAGTATTGAATTATATATATATTTTAATTAGATATAAAACAATTTTTTTTCCTTAGAAATAAATACATACCGACAGCAAATATTTTGTGAATTTTTTGTGGTACGTTTTGTACCGAAATCATTTTTAATTTTTTTTTTCCAAAAAATCCGATACCAAGTTCTCAGTTGCAATCAAATAATAATATTATTTTCAAATATTTGTTTTTTTTTTTTTGAATTTGTATTCAATTTAACTTTGTAGTCCGTTGCATGTGGATAAATGATCTCTAAAAAACATATGAACGTTCAAATTTCTGCACGCGTAATATGTAACTTAGAAAAATATTAGCCATAAAATTTTGTATGTGTCAATACCCTCAAGAAATAAAAGACACATTTACGTGGTAATTGAAATTTCCAGCATACATTTATTTTTATTTTATTCATATTTTTTAAGCTTACACACCATTTAATAATAAGTTACTTATACATATATACAAAATATTTCAGCATTAATCTTATAAATAATATATTACTCTTTTTATTAGAAAAGCTCTAAATTCAGCAATTTCTTTGAACGAGAATATTTTATTGTTTTTTCAAAAAGAAAATAAATACACATTTATGTACTTAAGGAAAAACTAAAGCGAAACACTATAAACTAAACCTGAAATGGGAAGTGAAGTAATCATTTTACCTTTTTTTATAATTTTTTTAAATTTTTTTTTTGTAATTTTAATTTCACTTTTTATTTTCATAAGATTTGTTTGAATAAAATTAATAAAATTTAATTGAATTTATCATTTTTTATTTTAATTTTTATATTTCATTTTATATTATTTAAATTGATTTTGATTTTCTTTCATTTTCATAAAAACAATATTATTTTTCCCGTTTTTGTTTTTTATTGCATTTACTTTTTATAAGTTATCTTAATTTGTTTTATATTATTTTAAGTTGTAAATATTATTGTATGTGATTTTAATTCTTTTTATATTTTTTTGTTATATAATATCTATTTCAATGCAATACAACATGTTTTTGTTTACCGTTTGCCATATTTTTGGTTTATTTATTGTTTTTTTATTTATTTTATTTTTTTTTTTAACTTTATTATATTTTTTAAATTTTCTTTTACTTTTTGCTTTGTTTCATTTTTTTACTTTATTTTATTGTATATTATTTTTTTTACATTTTTTTATTTTTATTTAACTTACTTAAGATAATTTGTTTTATTTTTCTTAATTTTTTTTTTAGCAAATTTTAAGTTTTTATGTTAATTAATTTTTTGGCTTAATTGTATTTTATTTTCTTAAAGTTATTTCATTTTATTTCACTTAATTTTATTAACTTATTTTAATTTATTTAAATTAATATTTATATTCACTTTATTTCATTTTGTGTTATTTAATTTTATTTTACTGTATTTAATTTAATTTATTTTTATATTTTTATTTGATTTTACTTAATTTTATTATTTTATTTTTATTTATTTAAATTAATATTAATATTCATTTTGTTTAATTTTTTATATTATTGTATTTAATTTAATTTTAATTTTTTTAAATTAATATTTGTATTCATTTTTATTTATTTTATTTTTTCTGTGTTCTTTTATTTTGCTTTATTTTATTTAATTTTTTTATATTTTATTTTACGTAACTTTATTATTTTATTTTAAATTATATAAATTAATATTTACATTCATTTTATTTTATTTGATTTTTAAAATTATTGTATTTGATTTAATTTAATTTTATTTTATTATATAAATTTAATTTATTTTGATATATTTATTTTTTTTTTGTTTTTATTTATTTTATTTCATTTTATTTTTAATTTTATTTTATTTACATAATATTGTTTTATTTATATAATTTTTTATTTAACTCTATTTTTTAATATTATTTTATTTACATTTTTTTTATTTCATTTTATTTACCTTTTTTATAATTTTTGATTAATTTTTTTTTTGTTTTAGATTTATTTAATTTATTTTTTTTCTATTTGGCCTTAATTCATTTTTGTTTATTTTGTTTTATTTTAATTTTAATTTTGTTTTATTATTTTTATTTTATTTTATTGTCATTGTTTTTTATTTAATTTAATTTTATGTTATTCTATTACACCTATTTTCTGTGCTGGATTTCATGGAACTTAAAATTTGAGAATTAAAAATTTTTAATTTTTTTTTAATTACTTTATTTTTTTATCACATTCAACAATTATACATTTCATAGAATTTCTTTCTTTTATTTAATTAACGTTTTTTTAATTTACATTTAAATACATTGAGATGGACGATACTTACATACATAACTGTGCACTCAACACTCATTGACGTGAATAGATTTATCAGTATAAAGTCATTATCTCTCAATATTCGACATTATTAACCAATATTCGTCGTGTTCCAAATTTTATAACTACATGCAATGCATACATACACGTGTATATGTAAAACTGTTACAAATAAGTACATAACTAACAATTAATATATACAATTTCTTAGTTTAACGTTATACATATATACACATAGTAAGTGTGCTTGCAGTGTACAGTGTCTTAAAAAAGTTAGAGTACTTATAGTAAATTCGTTAGTTTGCGTTTAATAATTTCCCTTTTCACTTTGCCTAAATTAATTTAATTTTAACTTATTTTCAAAACTTAATGCTATTTAAAAGTTTTTTATTTATTTTAAGATTTTAATTGAGTATATATACATTGTCATTTTTATTACTGAGGAAGCAATTTTTTTTATTTATACGAGTATATAGTTCGTTAATATTTAAACAGAATTTTCCTCAAGTCCTTGCTGCAAGAAGAAAATGTTTAAAGAAAAGGTTTTAGGTCCATATTCAGTATAGTAAATTAGTTTCGAAGTGATGATAAAAAATTTCTATGAAAAAATAATTTTGATTACCTCAATTCCTTACTAAGTTCAGAAAATAAAAACAAAGCAAAGAACTCCGTTTAGGAGCATTCCACGAAATTCTGTAGTAAGCGACGCCTGGAGACGAAGCATATAGAGCTAGCTCAGATAGGGTTGGTGTTCGAGGGCTACTGGTTGGAAATGTCACTCAAGAATCTTTTTGAAAAATTACCTTCTGTGCACAGAATATGATAAATGTACATTCATATATAAGCACAAACAGCCCTTAAGATGGATTAAACTTCAAATTTCTCCCTTTTGAGTGATTCGAGAAGAGAGAGAGCTTCATTTTGTCTAAAGACATTTCAGGATTATTCCTCGTTATACTACTTTTACTGCCGTCAGATTGGTACAGTAAGCAATTGGCTGCAAGTCGGTACTAACGCTAGTGGAATCTTACCTTGAATAATGTCTATTATATCACGAGATAAAACTCTTCCTATTATATTATGCTTCTCCTCCGGGGACCAGTGAGTTAGTCATATTATGCAACGATTACAAAAGAAGTTTCCAATGAGTAGAACGAAATGAGATTGAAGGACATCGTATATGCGGATGCAAAGCCTAGCACAGCTTTACCTGGTTTATTGGTTGGTTCGGAAAAGACGTGGTTGTGTGAGGGGTACTTCAGTCTCGGTGGTATAAGAATGGGCTCTAAAGTCTAAAGTGCATCAGCAGATATTCACTTTACCCACTTGCACTAAATGCCTTGTCTTGATTTTTCACTCGTAGCTTTAAAAGCAGTTCGGTGTCTAACGAACTAGTTGGGCTTTAGCAGTGTGGACTTAGACCATACGTCAAAACTCAAAAAAAAAAAAGTTTAAAAGCAGCCTTCGACAGCACGAAAAGAAGTTGGAGCTGGGCGATGATAATATGTTATGAGTCGGTGTGTGAGAAGTTTTCGTTAAAAAGGTTTTGAGGAGGAGAAGCATTTTCACTCCGTTGAAAAGATAAGGTGATGTGAAGCGAAGTATCTTCACTTAGAAACTCCAAACAGCGAAAGCAAAAAAAAAACTTCGCATTGTGTTGATTCGGCTATTATCGCGTAATCGGTCCTTATGTCAATTTAGTAGTAATAATAGTAGTAGTAATAGTAGCAGTCATAATAGTAGTATTAATTGTATTAGTATTATTAGTAGTAGGCATAGTAGTAACAGTAGTAGTATTAGTAGCACAAGTCGTAGTAAAAGTAGTAATATTGGTGCTAGTAGTAGGAGTTGTAATAGTAGTATAAGTCGTGATAGTAGTAATAGGAGGAGTATCAGTAATAGTAGTAGTAACAATAGTAGTAGGTAGAAGTAATATTATTATTAATAATAGTAGTAGTAGTTGGTTGTTATATTTGTAGTAGTAATAGTAGTAGTAAAATAAGTAGAAGTAGTAGAAATAGTAGTAGTAATAGTACCATTGCAGTAGGTTAAAGGAATATCTTTAGTAGCAGAAGTAGTAGTAATAGTATCGAATGCAATAGTAATAGTAGTAGTACTCGTAGAAGTTATAGTAATAGTGAAATAGTAGTAGTTGTACTAATAATAGTAGTAGAAATAGTAGTAGTAGCAGTAGTAGTAGCAGTAGTATTAATAGTAGTGGTAATAGTAGTAACAGTAGTAGTAGTAGGAGGAGTAATAGTAGCCGACAGAGTGCACTCGCAATGCCCGGAACGACGAAATCGGTAGCACAAGGGAGGAGCACAAGGCAAACATATACAAGAAAAGCGTTTGGTTGCTTCGAGATACGAGGGATGTTTTAAGCTTCTATGCGACAGGCAATTTCTTTGACTTTAACTATTCATTGAAACTAAATTCGCAATACCTCGGATTGTACATACATTCTGTTCTCGAAGAAATAAATTATTAAAGCCCCCCGAAAGGACAACTATGAGTAGAATGGAGGGACCAACAACTTATTCTAAGTCGAATTCTGGTCTTCAGAATATCAGTAAGGAATTTGCTAACTACACGGCTATGGACGCCGCGCAATTGCACATCTTCTTTCTCTAAGAACCCAGCTAGTTCACTTAGTAGTTTCTGCTCTAACTGCCTACCAATAACTCTACCAGGCTTAGAGCGCTGCTTAAATTAAATCAAAATCTATTACCAAACAAGCGACGGCAGAAATGACATCTCACATTCAATAAGAATTTTTCAACGAAAAACTACAGAAATCGTAAGTCAAACACAACAAGAAAACACTCTATAAAATTGTAATCTTTGCCATTCAACACTGTTATTCAAACACTTTTTATTTGAACTGAGACAAAGTTGCAAAACATTGCAGCAACGCAACTAACTGTACATTGAGGCACGTGCGCAGCCAAAGTGCAAAGGACAAATTGGAAAAAAAGCAGAGGGAGACGATTGCCAAGTTTGTAACAAATCCCTTGAAAATATGCGTCCAGCACCAGCTCGACGTCACTGCACTTTATAGTTCCTTTCATCAGTACAGTTACGTTTATGTTTGCATGTACGAGTATGTGCATAATCCAGCAGTTATATCTCTCGTCGCGTGTATCTTATTTGTATTTACTTGCATGCGACCGACGCTCAAACAAAAACACATTGCAGCACACATACACATGCATACATCCCTAAACACCTACAAAAACAAACGACGAATAAAAGTGCTGAAATGCCAACAGAAGTCAGATCACTGCGGGGAGCTGGACGATTGCAGAATTGCAAAAATGCAAATTTAACGAGGTAATAAACTGGCGAAGGCATGAAGCAGCAACGGACGGACGCTTGCATGAACCATGAAACCATGAAACTATGGAGGTTTTAAACCCGGCTGTCTAACCGCCTCCCCAAGTACGCGACTCACCAGCACTACCAGCAATGTCGAAAAAAAAAATAAAAATTATAAAAAGTTACTGGCGTTTATATGTTTGTTTGTGTGTGCAATGAAAAATATTGTACGAGTATAACTGATGGATGACTTTTTTAGACCTGTGATTTTCAGGCAGAAATTATTTTATGGGAATTACAGCGCTGCTGGCGGACGCCAATGACATTGACATTATTGACCGCGCCGTGAGTTAGGCTTTTTGCGGACTGTATTAACACCAACAACTATGCCAGACTCGAAACTCAACGTAGAATCAATCTTACCAACAGGTGTAGCTCCAGACTGAGTAGACAAGTGAAAAGTCTCTCGAGTAACGAGAACCAAACTCCACAAGTCGCTCGCCGTTCCCGTTCTGCTATATGGTGCGGAAGCATGGACGATGACAACATCTGATGGGTCGGCGCTAGGAGCTTTCGAGAGAAAGGTTTATGTGTAAGATTTATTGTCCTTTACGAGTGGGGGAAAGTCAATTACCACATTCAGTGGAACGATGAGCTGTACGAGATATACGGGGCGGCGTTGACATAATCCAGCAATTCAAGGAATTGGGGCTTCGCTAGTTATGTATTGTGTACCGAAGAGACAAGAGCACTCCTGGTTTGAATGAATAATATATCCGCCGTTGGAAGTAGGGGAATGGGGAAGACCTACACTTTGTTGAAAAGACAAGTTAGTGAAGGATGTCGCTGTACTTGGTATCTCCAGCTGGTGCCAAACAGAGAAAAAAAGAAAGGAACCGCATAAGCGGTGTCTACGCCAGTAAAGAAGAAAAAGAACTAAATGTTATCACCAAGAATTTAGCTTTATTATAAATCAAAGGGTTTCTTATTATATTTTAAAAGTGACTTCGGGAAAGTTAACCTGATGTGCCTTGAACCTGCAACCAAGAGGACGATTTCTCGACCGCTTTTGCGCTAATTGGGGACGAACGCGCCGAACAATCTCTTCCAAGGCGTCTCGAGGTAACTTCGTAGATAAACGATTTCTCAATACTACAAAATTAGTCCAACGGTGTTGAATTGCACGATGTTAGGTACCACGTAACAGGCCCACGTCGAGAGATAATAATAAAATGATTCCCTCGTTGCCTGTAGGACATGTAGCGCTTTGCTCCATGCCGGATTTCGCTGACTTTAACCGGCCACAATGGATTCATTTTTCAATGAAATACCTTTCTCTTTAAGACTGCCTCTGCCATTAGAGCACACCAAACATTGACTTCGTGGGAATGCAAAGATTGCTTAAAAATTACCTGGGGATCGTCATTACTCCAAATGAGAAAATTTCGCATACAAATTTACAGCTCACCTAAAAATGAGCTGCAACGCTGAACAAAATTTTCTTGAGAAAATCAAAAACCGACTGTGGGACTGTTTCACTTCTTGCACGCATTGGAATTTGTAAGCCACAAACTAAGATTTTGTTGCAAAATCTTCAATATGATGGTTGAACACTTCTACGTGCGCCGGTGGATGGACTCATTCGAGTCTTCTCCGATACACTGCACTAGAGCAGCAATAGAGTCTTCGGTGCGCGATGTGCGACACTTATGAAGATGCAAATGAACTATTAGAGTAAAAATGGTGCGAAACCGAGCCTTGGTCGAATTGTCAAGTCTAATGGGCGCACGATGTTTGGATATTAAATTTGCTCGATTTGCGAACGTCTCCGGAGCAACATCTGTTCATTAAGAAAGGGTTAACCAAACTGGGTATAAGTCAAGCTGACAAAAGACCAATCCCGGGAAAAGTTTTGCCTCATTGAAAACCACATCTCTAAAAAGGCACCCGTTATAAAAATTTACGAGCGCTTATATATACGAATGTGTATGCAGTAGTTTACATCAATTTATGTCCATTTATACGAGTACTCACCTTCATGAACGGACTAATCGCATGCGGCATAACGCTCAGCGTCGTCACTGTAGGCATCATATGCAGAGCACCGTTAGAGCCGCGTTGCATCGTCATCGGTATGTTTGCGCTCACACCGAGATTCTGATTATGGCCCAGCAGTGTGGTGGTGGTGGCCGACGAAACGCACGATTCGCGCTTGCCCTTGCCATAGTAGGCGGTGAGTGGTCTGCAAGGAGTAAAGCAAAACAAAAACGCAACAAAAACATTATGCGATGGCAAATGAAAAACTGAAATTAAGAAACAAAAACAAACAAGAAGAAGAACAAGCAGAAGAAGAAGAAATAAAACAAGCAGGAAAGCGATAAAAAACAAAGGAGTAAATTTAGTTCATTTCTTAATTAAAAGACATTTTTTTCTATTTTTCATTATGAGAATTTCATTTCTTTATGAAATTATGATGAAGTTCGGAGTTTATTTTTTTCAAGAACATACCGCGTGCTTTCGGTTCTCGGCGAGCAGTCCTTGGAGAAACTCTTTGTGGTGTATCTGTAAGGAAAATGCAATAATTATTTGTGGATTAGTGAAAGTTTTAATTTATTTAAAATAAAAGAAATAAATATAAATTGTTTACTAGTGAGGGCTGCTTTCACTATACTAAGGTAAGACTCATAATTCTCACAGGCCTCTTCGGTAGTAAGGGGTTCTCCTCTGTTGAAGGTGACTCGACACATTATCAACTTCGGATTTCTGCATATTTTTGACTCAGCTTCCGCTGATATCCGCAATGGCCGAAGGTAGGCAGCAGCACATTCTACTATGCCAAAGGGTGAGTTTTCAGCTATTATCTTTCTGGCAACACTAGTTTAAACAGCTGGCGCTCGTTTCGTGTCTTAAATAGCGGTCAAACATCTTCAGTTTGGTCTCTAATGTAACCATGAATAGTCTTACGAACGAACAACGCTTGCGAATTATGGAATTTTATTGTCAAAATTCGTGCTCTGTGAAGAAAGTTCACCGCTCGCTTCCTCCGTGCGCTTTTCGAAGCTCATTTTTGGTCTAACGGGTGAGTAGAAAAACAGAATTGTCGATTTTGGAGTGAAGATCAGCCAGAAGCATCGCAAGAGCTACCAATGCATCCAGAAAAAGTCACACTTTGGTGTGGTCTATGGGCTGGTGGCATCGTTGGACGGTACTTCTTCAAAGATGATGCGAGCTGTACAATAACTGTGAATGGTGAGCGCTAACTTAAGATGATATCAATCTTTTTTGCCCAAAATACAAGGGCTTGACTTGCATGACATGTGGTTTCAACAAGACGGTGCCACATGCCACACAGCATGCTTAACAATGGACTTATTGAGAGGCGAGTTCAGTAAACATTTTATTTCACGTTCGGGATCGGTCGATTGGACACCTAGATCGTACGATTCAACGCCTTTAGACTACTTTTTGTGGGGCTATGTTAAATTTAATGTCTATACAGACAAGCTCACTTCAATTGACGCAGTGGAGGACAACATTGAAGCATTTATTCGTAAGATACCGGCCGAGATATTGGAGAGAGCATGCCAAAATTGGACTGAGCGGATGGGCCATTAGAGATGCAATTTGGTCAAAATTTGCATGAAATAATCTTCGAACATTAAATTATATGGACCGTACTATGGATAAAATAAAGATTTCATGCATTTTTATTTTTCTGATTTTTATGTTTTTTTATTCAATGACTTTCCTATAGCAATTAAAAAAATCGCCCTTTATATGAAGAGTCTTAGGCGCGAATACTGATCATGTCTCTCCGAATATAATTGACCAAAGGGAGGAGGAATTGACTTATGCGAGTGTACTTCTGGCCGAAAATAAAAACTCTTCTCCTTCAGGTATCATTATAATCGGCATAAGTCAGCAGTTGTCCACATTGTAGAAGAATGAAAGGTCTTTCCCGATTTTGAAGGAGCAACTTTTAGGATAAAAGAAGAAGAAGCTCTGTGCGTCGATCCTCTTTTCAAGGTTAAGCGCTTGGGGAAAACCTGGTCAATTGTATTGTAAATCTTCTAACTACGAAGTCTCATTGTTAAGACTCAATCAGTTGATTGATGGGAGGCTTCCATGTTTCACACTCAATAAGACTTTGTAAGCATCATAGAGCAGATGCTTTTCGCATTTTGTTTCTACGGTCATCGGCTGAAGGATCTGGATCGATTATTGATCCATTTGCCATTCATCAAATCGCCCAATTCCTTCTTTGTTTTCTAGATGAGTATGCTCTGGTCTTGAGGCCTTCTGTAAGTTGCTTAATCTTTTTCGAGCATTACTCCTGTCGGCCAACTTTTTAACCTCTTCGTATTTATATCTATCTCTGCTTCTTTCTTTTTTTGACTGCAGTTGCTTCTTTTTCACCTCTTAAGTTCTCGGTATCTATCTCCTACCTTAGGTGTTGAGGTCGATCGCAAGGTTGCGAGGCAGACAGTCTGTTTTCTCTTCGCCGCAACATGGTAGTGCTCATGGTGTCAGCTGATTTTGCGATCTAATAGTTTCGTAAGCAGCTGTACGTATGGAGCTTGAAATGCCGTCCCACCGTGTGCGTATACCGAGCTGCCGGTGAGTGCTCCCAGAAACCTGATTTCTGACGAGCCGATTAGAAAACGACCCTCGAACCTGCTTTGTGTTTGTTCTTTGATGTAGCGAGACGGGTGCCCATCATAGTTGCTACAAGTTAGTGGTTTCGTCGACGTTGGATTCTCGGTACGATCGATCTGGTTGTAAATTTTTCGCTGGGGAGACAACCACGAAGCTTGATGCATTTTTTGTGCTAGAATCTAGTACTACAGACAACCACATTTCACGCCCGGGCGTATTTGATAAATCGGACTGTTGTGCCTAACCATCTTTGGCAACCTTTGCGTTAAGGTCACCAAACCCAATTTAGACATCGTCGCAGCGACAGTAGCTATAAGTGCACTCTTAAAGTCTCTGCTGCCGCATTTGAAAACCATGTTTTTTAGGTGGATTCTGCCGAGACGTTAACCAGCAGTGGAAAATGCCAGGACTTGAAAACAGGAGATAGACTCAGTCTACACCAAGAATCTGGCACTGTATGTGTCACAAGATTTTACTCATTTCGTCCTTGTCCAATCCATCGCAATTCCTGGATGGCGCTGATGCCAGCCTTTTAGCTTGTGAGTCTATTAACAAACTTGATGAGAACGCCGTCACTATTAGGAGACTGGACAATCCAGTTGTATGCTCTCAAAAGTGAGGTTTCTCCATTTCTCTCTTTTCTTTAGAACTGGTTTTTTAGTGATAGATCCAAAACCTGGTGAATCTTTTGTTCCATTTAAGGCTTAAAAGTCAGAGAATACTGTCAGCATGGAGAAAGCAGATGATCTGTTGACTCGAAGATTGGGAAAAAATTTAAATTTCGGTGTGAGTCAATCCAAATACGGAAATTCCGAGCTCCAAGAGGTGATATTTAAGAGATGTTCAGAGTAGATCTACTTCTAATTCTACGCTCTACTTAATTGCATTGAAAATCCTACACTCCGAGATAGTCTTCCGCCGATAGGGATGAAAAACACATTCCATATTCACTCGAAAGGGTACATGCAGCGGACCTCCTGTGAGACAAAAGAGTGCCCATAAGAAGATCGCATGGTGATAGTACCAAGAATTGAGAAGGAACTTTCAGTACGTTCGGTACCTAACGAGTTTTCAAACCAGCAACTCTCCATCATGTGACTCCTTCAATTTAATGCTCGAGTGCGATACGCAGATCTAAGCAGAGGGGATGAAATCTTAAATAAGAAGGTCCAATTGCTTATTTATGCCGATGATATCGACATAATTGGTTTTATCTGATCAAAAACAAACTTTACAAGTTGCTATTATTCCCCACTTGCTATGAGGAAAGAAGCTTGGGGCATGGCAATGTGCGATAAGTCGACTTTAGGTGTTTAAATAGAAGGGATTGGCGTGGGTTGGACTGTTGGCAGCAGTGTGCGGCAGTAATTCGAATTCCGAAACTCGCATAAACAAAACAAAATTAAACATTCCAACGTCAAACGCAGTTTCGCCTCGCCCCATGAATGACAAACTTATGACAATGCAAACTGGAATGCTAATATTCATTTGTACGCTAGGATGGCACGAGATACGCTTGTTGAGTTTACCTGACACCTCATGGCAGTGTGGATAGTACAAGTGCAATTCGGTGGCCCGTGAAGCAGCGCATGCACAGCTCGGAAAATAGAAACTATTTTGATGCGAATGTTCAATACAAATTCGAGATGGATATTGAACGACTGTTGCATACTTGGAAATAATTTCCTTTCTTAATAATAAAATGAATTCTGAAATGAAGGAAGCTTAAGCAACTTTTAGCGTAGAAGAGCACCAACGTAGTTACACTTGTTAAAGATTTGAAAGGACTTAAAACGAGTTTTAAAATCAACCAACTCTCATTAAAGTTTCACAATACATATTGTTTGTATGTATGTGTTGAAGATTCGCTTGAGACAGAAATAGTCATGGCGATAAGCTTTTTACTGTAACCCAACTTTTTCTACGCTCCTCTCGATAATCAAGGCTGGTATAGAAGACCCTTTTGGGCCTGCAACGTTTTTAAGAGTGTAATCAATTCGAACCACCGTAGTTGAGGTCCTCTCCAAAGAAATGTAATTACATACAATCTGCAGATGCTGGAATGGCACTCCTTCAGAGAGAGAGAGCATCAGAAAATCAAGAGATTTCGAGTGGTTGATATTACAGTCCATAAATTGTATTTAAAATTGAAGAGAGAAAGAGGGAGATCGAAACTAAAATTCATGGTACAGATTTTTGAATGGAAATCCAGTCACAGCTCTCAAAAGCGACATATGTCAATGTTTCTAACCGCTTTAACGAGGACGTAATTGAAGTAGTGTTGAAAAAGGTTCTGTAAAGGGGACACCGAGCGAGGAATGCGACACTTACTCGTATGCAAATAAACAGAAGGCTTATCGTGCCTGAGTAAAGAAATTACAACAAGAACCAGTCTCAAGCGTTGCTACAGAGAGTTGTGATCGATCTCGGTCTTTTGGAGTGAAAAACACTCCTCGGTTTTTGTCATTGAATGGTGTTGATACTCTTAGTTCGCACAACACTAAGCCGTTTGTGTGGAACAAAGAGGTCTTAAGCTCACAGTTACTTACTTTACAGGCGAGACACCGCTTATGCGAATATAGCCGATTTACAAGAGCGCGCCATTCGTTTCTTCTTTTTGCTGTTTGGTGCCTAATGGAAATACTAAGCACAACCAGGTCCTACTCTACCTGGTCTGTCCAACGGCGTGAGGTCTTACTCTTCCTCTGCTTCCACTGGCGGGCACTGGACCCAAAACTTTCAAAGCTGGAGTATTCGCATTCTTCCGGACTACATGACCTAGCCAGCGTAGCCGCCGCTTCTTGATTTGCTGAACTATATCAATCTCGCCATATAACTCGTACAGCTCATCGTTTCGTCGTCTGCGGAATTTGCCGTTGCCAACGCGCTAAGGACTGTAAATCTTA